AGATCTAGCAAGCCTCCGAGCCCGCCAGCGGCGTTTTGCTTTTGCTCAGCGGCACGTAGCTGGCAAGGGGCCAAGCCACAATTTGCTTTTGCGTTTGCAGCACGTGGATATGTCTGTTTGACCGAGGCGTGAAGGGCCGTCTACCTGCCCATCCGCCGGTGTCTCGGCTGCAGGTCTTTGCTTTTGCGTTTGCTCGTTTTTTGCTTTTGCGTTTGCAGTTGCGCGCAGCGTGCCCGCTCACATGTGCGAGGCGAGATCCACGCCGCTGAAGCCGCCAGCCGCTGGCCACAGACTTTTGTTTTTGCGCACGAAAAAGCGGCAGCTCCTGGCGCTTGCGTTTGCTTGCTGGCGCCTGTGGCCTTGCGAGAGTTTTGAGGCTTCAATCGGCCGTTGCCATTTGTTTGCTTTTGGTTTTAACTCACTCTGTAGGTCCATTTGTCTCGGAAAGCCGTCAGCCCAAAAACCCGGCACACATCCAGCGCCAAGCACTGTTTATCCTTTAAAGCGTCAGGCATGATATGCTCAACATTAACCCCCTAGCAATTAAAGACCTTGAGTCCGTAGAGGCCTTGACACTTGAGAGCAAACAAATTGTAGGGCCATCCCGTTTCTTTTGGAAGGCGTCAGCCCCAAACTCTTGCATCTGTTTTTTTTCGGCAGGGGTCAGCCCCAAACTTTTGCGGCCAAACTCCTGTTGTTTTTGTTGGAAGGTGTCAGCCCCAATCTGCCAGATCGTTGGGTCCATGTTTTTGGGAGGTGTCAGCCCCAAACTCTTGCTGCCAGATCTCTGGGGCCAGTTTTTTTTGGAGGCGTCAGCCCCAAACACTTGCTGCCAGATCTTTGGGTCCATTTTTTGGGGGAGGTGTCAGCCCCAAACTCTTGCTGCAGAATCTCTGGGGCCAGTTTGTTTTTGGAAGGTGTCAGCCTCAAACTCTTGCTGCCAGATCTCTGGGGCCAGCTTGTGCTTTGGAAGGTGTCAGCCCCAAACTCTTGCTGCCGGATCTCTGGGGTCAGCTTTTTTTGGAAGGTGTCAGTCCTAAACTCTTGCTGCCAGATCTCTGGGGCCAGCTTGTGCTTTGGAAGGTGTCAGCCCCAAACTCTTGCTGCCGGATCTCTGGGGTCAGCTTTTTTTTGGAAGGGCTCAGCCCCAAACTCTTGCTGCCAGATCTCTGGGGCCAGCTTGTGCGTTGGAAGGTGTCAGCCCGGGTCAGTTTTTTTTGGAAGGGTTCAGCCCCAAACTCTTGCTGCCAGATCTTTCGGTCCATGTTTTGGGGGAGGTGTCAGCGCCAAACTCTTGCAGCCCCAAGCTCCTGTTGCCAGATCTCTGGGGACAGCTTGTGCTTTGGAAGGTGTCAGCCCCAAACTCTTGCTGCCGCATCTCTGGGGTTGTTTTTTTTTTGGAAGGTGTCAGCCCCAAACTCTTGCTGCCAGATCGCTGCGGCTGTTGTTGTTTTAGCCTAAAAATGGGCCCCGAGGTCTGGCAGCAAGAGGTTTGGCGCTGACGCATTAACACTTTTTTTCGGAAATGCTTCAAATGTATTGCTAATGGACACATGTGTCCGCAGTAGTTTGGCAGTAGTTTGGAAGTAACTACTGCGAAAACTACTGCGCTGGAGCTAATGCCGCAGTAGTTTGGCAGTAGTTTGGAAGTAACTACTGTGAAACTACTGCGCTGGAGATAATTTCACAGTAGTTTGGTAGTAATTACTGCGAAACTACTGCACTTAGGCAAACAAAGTTTGGAGGAATTTAGCCGCACTTTGGCAGTACTGACTTCTAAACTACTGCGGCAATTCGGAAACCAGCAGTTGCAAATGCTGATGGGCCAGGAAAACAAAGAGGCCAGCAGCTGCCACGGAAGCTACTGATGACTCAAAATTTGCTGCGTTTGGGGCTGACCCCTTCCAAAAAACACAGCTGACACCAATCATCCTGCAGCACTTGGGGCTGCACCTTCCAAAAAGGCAAGCTGGCCCCAGAGATCCTGCAGCAAGAGTTTGGGGCTGACACCTTCCAAAGCACAAGCTGGCCCCAGAGACCCTGCAGCAAGAGTTTGGGGCTGACACCTTCCAAAAAACAAACTGGCCCCACAGATCCTGCAGCAAGAGTTTGGGGCTGACACCTTTCAAAAACAAACTGGCCCCAGAGATCCTGCAGCAAGAGTTTTGGGGCGGACACTGTGACACCCAAAAAGCAAACTGGCCCCAGAGATCCGGCAGCAGGAGTTTGTGGCGGACACCGTCCAAAAAACAAACTGAGCCCCAGAGATCCAGAGATCCTGCAGCAAGAGTTTGGGGCTGACACCTTCCAAAAACAAACTGGCCCCAGAGATCTGGCAGCCAGAGTTTGGGGCTGACACCTTCCAAAACAATTGGACCCAGAGCTGCGGCAACAAGAGTTCGAGGCTGACACCCTGGTAAAACAAAATCTGCCCCAAAGATCTGGCGCCAAGAAATTGGGGCTGACGCCTGCCAGTAAAAGCAGCCTGTAATAGGGGACACGTACGCGCACACAAAATCGGAAGCATATGCATACACACACATTGGTCGTTTGTTTCACAACCTAGCATAAATATGGATATTCAGCACCTATCACATCTACACAACCGTGGTCCCAACATATTCCGGCAATTATGCCCATTGACAAGCCCAAGCTGCGCCCCAATACCCATGTTCAAAGGGAATACTTACCGCCCCCCCGCATGACGCATTTGCGCGCGTCAGCTCATAGGATGGGACTATTTTGGGGATGGCGAAACCAGCGCTGGAACGCAGTGACAGCTTGCAGTTAAGTAGGCAAAGTAGAGCTCGAAGCGTGAGCGAGGGCAAGGCGCTCCGTTTGCTTTTGCGTATGCATTTGCGTTTCATCCCTTGCGTTTGCTGGTCATGCCCCTTGCGTTTGCTGGTCATGCATTTCCCCATGACCGCATGCCTGCGGCTATAGTTGCTCTGGAGCCTTTGGGCTTTTTACTTTTGCCACTTAGCAAGTTTTCGCGCCCCGCCATGGAGCCGGTCACCACGCCGCGCAAGCAACCGCCCAGCAGCCCTTCAGCCCCGCGCAAGTCGCCGGGTCAGTCACCAGGTCAGTCACCAGGTCCGCAGAGCTCTGCGCTCTCGCCAACGGCGCTGAAGCGCCCAGCAGCTGCAAGCCCGGTGAAGAAGCGGCCCGCGGCGGCCGCGCCCAAGACGGCCGCCAAAAGCAAAGCTTCTGCCAAGCCGAAGCCTAAGCCGAAGCCCGAGCCGAAGACCGAGTCTGGCGTCAAGAAGAAGGCCAAGGCGAAGGCGAAGGGCAAGGTCAGCGTGTGGGCGCAAGCCGTGGGAGAGGACCAAGAGACAGAGCAGCCCGACGCCTTGGCAGTGGTCGACGAGCCTGCTGGCCGCGACAAAAACAAAAGCCAGTGGCTAAAGCGCAACCGGGACTCGTTGCCAGCCGACCTCAAGGCCTTGCTGGACTCTGCCAAGAGGACCGACCTCACAGAGCTGGTCAACAGGCTTGTGGTCAAAGACGCCCGTGGTCAGTTTCAGCTGGCCGCCAACGACCCTGTCGTCGCCCAGAAGCGCCGCCTCTACAAGGAAGCCAAAACCACCAACGAGGCGAAGTCTGTGCCGCGGTTCATCGCGGAACAGCAAGCCGGTGGCTCGGACAAGCTGAAAGCTGCCGTGCAGCGCGGCGAAGCTCGCTGCGTCAAGGTAGACGGCGTGGACTACTACACGTGGCGCGAGGCCTCCGTCGCCCACACCACCGGCCAGTCCGACTCCATGGACGCCACGGCTGAAGTCGCGTCCGGCTCGCAGGACTTGATGCTATGTTGCCTGCGTCTGCACAGTTCGCTTATTGCTTTTGTCTTGCGTTTGCTTTTGTTCGGGCATCCTTGCTTGTGCCGTGTCGGCCGCTAGCTTTGAAGGAAGCCTTGCTGGTCGCTTTTGCGTTTGCCTTCATTGCGTTTGCTTTTGTCCCGGCATCCCTGCCTGCACCTTGTCGGCTGCTAAGTTTGCAGGACGCCAGCGGACTCTTCGCGCTCTTGGCCGAGTCCTTGCCGATGGGGCCGCCCGAAGCTGAAGGCGGCGGCTCGGCTGACGCGCCTGCGGACCTCATGGCCAGCACTCGCCCTCGCGTGGAGGAGGGCTTGCAAGTCACCCAAAAGATCTTCGGCGAGTCCCAGAAGGCGCTGCAGGCATTGAGCGGCATGCCGCAGTCGCCCATGGTTGCCACGTGCCGGGAACAGCTGGAGGCAGCAATGCAGGCAGTGCTCCAGTGCCTGCAGTCTTTGCAAGAGCTGAACACGTTTGGCCGCATTGGCGGCGAAGCCGCTGGTCCCGAGTCCTGCAAGACCTTGCTGAGGTCCTGCGCCGCCAAGGTGCTCCACTTGCAGCATGCTTGCCAGATGTGCAAAGCGCTCAAGCCTGTCGACTGATGTCCCCGCTTGCCGCGCGAACTGCGGCGTGACGCCCGATCATCTTGTCAAAAGGGAAGGGCGCGCAGTCATTGCTTGTGATTTTGCGCTTGCTTCTTTTGGATTGCTTTTGCATCTTTTGAAGATGCGGCGAACATGGGCAGCTGTGTGCGTGTTGGGCGCCTTGGTGCTGAGTACTGCCAAACTGCTCGCTGCAGCCATGGCCACAAGGCAAGGGTGTAGAAAGCGGCTGAGAGCCGCCCAAGCAGCCGATGGCCACGCCTGCGAAAGCAGCCTTGCGCGGCTGCTGCTTGAAAGCTGGTCCTGGGGCTTCATGTCCGCTCCGCAGCTGCAAGCCATAGCTGCGGCTGCAGAAGAAGACTTTGAGCGCGCTGGAGCCAACTGCCCCAGCGACGTCCAATGTCTCGCAGCCGGGCTATTTTAGTTTTGCAGTATCAGTTCTTTCTTCCGGGCCTTGAGTTGAAAGGTGGCCAGCCTGCGCTCGCCTCAGGCTGCCCTAGGGTTCTCCGGCAAGTACCCCGCCAACACGCACAGAGATCTCAAGCGGCGGTTGCCGCAGCCAGTGCTGGCGCCTGGTTTGTACCGCATGCCGTGTCGCGCAGCGTCTACAACCCTGCAAGGGGCCTTTCAGTATGCGACCCTGCATATGCTGTGCCCCAGCAAAGGTAGTTGTTCAAAGCCGTTTACGCAGCTGCGAGCTGTCTTGCAAACATGCGCGCTTCTGAGGTGGCCACATGAACTCTTCAGCGCAGTCTACAAGCATTTCCCCAAGGAGTGGATCGCCCGCATCCGCGGCGTAGCTGACCTCGGCGATTTCTGGCGACGAGTTGCCGGCGCGCCGCAAATGGCTGGCCACCCTCTGCTACGCGACCAACACTGCGCGCTGGACAAAACCATCCCGTTCAGCTTGCATGGGGATGGCGTTCCGATTGTTGGCGCAGGAAAGAGCTACCAGCAGTCTGCTGACATCTACTCCTTCTGCAGCCTTGTGGCCCAGGGATCCACCAAGGAAACCAACTTCATTGTGGCCATGCTCTTCGCCCGATCGCAGGCCAGCGGCGGGCACACAACACGCGCCTTCTGGCGCAAACTGACGTGGTCCCTCACAGCTCTCTTCAACGGCGCCGGCCGCTAAGTTGTCGCCCATGTCTGTCGCGCTGAGCCGGCGCCAGCCGTAGCTTTTTTTTTGCCTTTGCCTTTGCTGTTTGCGTTTGCAGCTGCGCGACTCGCTGGCACTGCGCTGCATTCTGTGTTGCAGCTGACTGAGGTCTGGCCTGATGTTGATGACAGAGGGCGTCCTCACGAAGCTGGCACCACCGCAGCGCGCCTCGCAGGCAGCCCGCTGGCAGACGGCTACCGCGGCGTGGTATTCCTGCTGCGCGGCGACCTTGACTACTTATCCAAATCCTTGGAATTGCAGCACGCTTCCGCCTCGCAGCCTTGCTGCCTCTGCCTCGCCGACCGCAGCGCGGGCTTGAACTTCCTGGACTGCCGGCCAGGTGCCCGCTGGCAGTCCTCCGTTCACACCACGCCGGTCTGGCAGCGCCGCTTTGGCAGCGCCAGCCAAAACCCACTGTGGCGCGCGCCCGGCATCACGGCGATGTGCTACTACCCGGACGTGATGCACAACAAGCACTTAGGCATGGATGCGTACTTCCTCGGCGGCGTTCTGAAAGTAATGCTTCAGTACGCTCCCCTGCCGCAAATCTTCGAGCAGTGCAAAGCCCACTGGAGAGAAGCCAGGGATGGCAACCACTTCGGCCAGCTGCGGGAAACCATGTTTCTGGGCAAGCGGGGCGATTACCCCAAACTTAAAGGCAAAGCCGCAGAGGTTCGCTCAATGACGCCGGCCTTGCTGGTTGCATGGCGCCGCCTGCGAGAAGCGCACGGCCTCCGCAGCACTTACGCTGAGCAGATCGAACTTGGCTTGCAGTGCAGCAAGGACACCCACCAAAGCAGCCCCGCTCATGGTTGCGCAGTTGCGTTTGCGTTTGCGCAAGCCCACCGTCCTTGCCAGCCCGCCAGGACATCGACGTAATTCTCGACGAAGCTCGTGGTGAGCTCTTCTTTGACGACCAAACGCACGAGCGGTATGTCGAGCTGCACTACCACTACGCTGCCATGCAGACAGCCCTTCATAAGCGCCACTGGGAGCAAGGCGAACGCGTGTTCAACGTCACAATCAAGATGCACTACGCCATCCACGGGGCGCTTCTGAGCAAGCACTGCAGTCCGAGGCTGTCCTGGTGCTACAGCGGGGAGGACCTCATGCAAAAGGCAAAGGTCGTGCTAGCTGCGTGCCGCTTGTCGCTCCGACTTGCATTTGCTTGTTTGCGTTTATTGCTCTGCGGTCAGCCGCCCTAGTTGCAGCCCAGGCTGCCGCGGCAACACGCCTGTTGGCGCAGTCAACAAGGCCATGCTGCGGTATTCTTTCGCTCTTGAGATGCAGATGACCAGACTAAGCGCGGGCTGCATGAGCTGAAAAGAAGCGCTTTAGGCGGCATCTCGCGGACAAGCTCGTGCATGCATTTGGTGCCGGCGCAGCATTTGCTTTTGCGTTTGCGTTGCTCACTTCGCCAGCTGAAACCCACAAAACGCGGCAACGGCAACGGCAATATTTCACGGCAACGGCAACGGCAACGGCAACGGCAACTTTTCACGGCAACAGTCACGGCAATTCCCCCGCTAAAAAATTAACTTTTCACGGCAACGGCAACGGCAACGGCAACGGTAAAAAAAACTGCCCACGGTAAAAATTAACTTTCACGGTAAAAATTGTCTTGCCCCCGCTAATTGTCTTGACGGATTCACAGGGAAATTTCACAAACTCGCCATCTTTTCACAAGCGTCTCACCAACTTGCCAGATTTCCACCAGCTCACCATCTTTTCACCAACGTGCATTTTTGTTGCAACCCACCGTCTTTTCACCTTCTTGTCATCAATTTTGTTCTACAAAGTCATCTTTCCGCCATCTTTTCACCACTTACCAAAAGGTTCACCAACTCGCCATCTTTTCTGTTGTCTGTTCGCAAATTTGGCAGACGTTCACAGACTCCCGTTTTTTCCTCAGCTTGCACACGTTTCACAAACTTGCAAACTTTTCACCAGCCCACCATCTTCTGACTCTCAATCTTCTCACCGCTTTCAAACTGTTACTCTGCGCTCCTTTCACAACAGCCCCACATTTGCACAACACTCTCACCTGCTTACTTCTCAAGCGTCACCAACTTCTCGCCAGTGTTCACCACCAACTCACCATATTGCGTTATTACAGACGACACCAAAAGAAGTTTTAAACACTCCGAACCTACCCGCAGTTCAACTCCATCCTCGCTGTCTAAACTTAGGCATGGCATGAGACTGAGGCGGGGCGTTGCTTGTGTGGACAGTTCAAGTAAAATTGAGTCACAAGAGGCCCTTGCGAGCAATGATTTGACGCCTCATTTTGTACTCAGTGATTACATTTCTTTGTGTAGGCAACCAAAGAAACCACCCTTTTAGAAAAAGCAACATGGCGAAGAAACACTAACGTGGGGGGTTGCCTGGGATCGCCTGGGATATGTATATATGTGCATATATACACACGCATATGGGATCGTAACAAGATAGGGGAACCCCAACCAAACATACGCTAGAAGAACGGGGGGGGGCGAAAGCAAAGTTCGCTCAGCAAGCTTCTCTGCGCAAGTTTCTGAGCAACTTTCTCTGAGCAAATGTGTCTGAGCAAGTTTCTCTCACATTCTCTAAGCAAGTTCTCTGTTCTCTGCGCAAATTTCTCTGCACAAGTTTTCTCTGCGCAAGTGCTCGGCTCAAAATTATCTGCGCAAGTTCTCTGCGCGCTCTCGCGCTAGCTTCTTTCACGTTTTGCGCCCGTCTACCAAAGAAAAGAAATCGGTGCGCTGATGCGCTGAACGTTCAACCATATGTACTTTGCGAGGAGACTGAGTCTACCCGAACAAATGAAACCGTCTGTGCTGACTGCTAAAAAACAATCGTATGAACAGTGCGTGGAGTCTTGTTAAAGAAATAAAAAATAGACCGTGCTCAGCGCCCGTTTTGTTTTTTTACCTTCGCGCATGCCCTTGACACCTGAATGCGCCTGATTGCTCTGACCATTGAAAATTGACGTATAATTCTTACCCAAATCGGCTCGCGATAATTAGTAGGCCAAACATTGCACTGCCCGTGGGTAGAAATGGACCCCTTTTACAAAATAAATTCAGGACATTGGGTGCCGGCATGTGCCGGCAATCAACTGGGTCAAGAATCCCTGTGGATAGACTGCTCATTTCAGCCGGGCATCTCCGGTGGGAAGCCGGACGTGCCAACGCCTGGCAGATCCTTGGCTGGTGTGCGGGGTGGGTATGCGGGTGGGTGTCCAGCCGGGGGGTGGCCATGTTGGGAATTTGTGGGACACAGCCGGCTACAGCAGTCTTCGGGAACAGGTCCCAAGAAGTCTTACACAGCTGTTGCTTCCTCGTAATCAGAACGTGCCTGTGGCTCTAAACAAAGAATCGAATAGGGGCCATGTAAAAAGAAAGCGCTCAAACAAGTATGGCCATCTCTTTGCACGCAAGTGCAAACAGATCACGGTGCGGCTTTGTGCTACCCGTAAGCTCCAAGAAGACTGTCGATGGGGAACGCACACGTTCCTGGCACTGCCAAGGGGCCCAAATGACGCAAGGTCTGGTGGTCCTCAGCTGACATGGCAAGAACGAATATGAGAAGCGTATGCGACCTGCGCCGTAGCAAAGCAACGGAAAGCATTGGGGAGCCGGGGAACCCCTCGCACAACCAAAGCTGCACTCAGCGACCAACGCCAAGGCCAAGCAAGCAACCCTCAAATCCTTTTTGTTCCGAGCGCTGCGAGTTTCAAGCAGACAGCTCGTACTCCAGCGACCCTTCGTCTGCCATTTCCTTGACGATGTCGAGGCCACCCAAAAGCTTGCCATTCGCGTAGAGCTGTGGGTAGGTGGGCCAGTTGGAATACTCCTTGAGCCCTTGTCTCACTTCCTCGTCGGAAAGGATGTCAAAGGTGTCAAAGTCCACACCGTTCTCATTCAAAAGGTCAACCATCTTGCCTTGGAACAGACTTAGAAGCACAAAAAGTGTGACCACATCCCTCTTCAGCACGCCTTTCACACACCACTACATTATTACCTCCATAAAGGGCTGTGGCGGTCAGCAAGTACAAGCTTCGGACAGCGGGATGTTATGCTCTGGGCCGAGAATATTTCATGGAGGCTTGGCAGCTCGGTGGGTTGATACGTGTTGATACGCAAAGCCCCCGGAATGTGCGCTTGTCACTGGCTTTTCTAGACACAAACACTGCGAATCGTCGACTTCTGCCACGGGACCCAAACCACGTCGCTAAGAACAGACCAACACACACACACACACACACACACACACACACACACACACATAAATTGAGTTTATACCGCATAATTTATACGCACGCCGACCTATAGACGCCAACATGGTCAAGCACAGTCACACAGACACAAGCCCCGAAGCAAAACAACACGCTCGCACAAAATGACCATCCCACGTGCAGACATGAGCACCCGTACATGTTGTCCAGACATTGCCCCTTGACACCCCAAATAAACTATCCTGGAGGCCGAGCCACGTGAAAAGCCGCAGCGCGGCCCTTCCGGATTTCCTTTCATGAAGAGCATCACCGGTGCCTTGTTGATCAAGGACTTCAACTTCTCCTGGCTGGAGTCCGGCCGCCCAAACACCAAGGCGCGTTTTCGACTGCACCCAGGGCCGTTGCTCTCTTGATCTCTGTCTTCAGCCCTTGAGCTTCAAGCCGGCTGAGAAACAGAACACAGCAAACTCAAACTCACCCTGCCTGTATGGGCTGGGCGGCACCGAGCATCTCACCGAAGGAGCCGTCCTCCTGTGCCCAGACACGGTAAGCCAAGGGCCAACACCGTGTGTGGAGCCCTGCGGAAATGGGATGCATGACAGTCCTCACCTTAGCCCATTGGCGGGGCTTCCCTCTGTGGGGGTATGGCCTCAACAAGGAATGCATCCCAAATCTGCGGAATTCGCGACAGGCTTGGACACCCGCCAGGACACCAATCTAAGCCCTACACCATGAAGCATGTTGCTTCCTGTGGAACCCTGTCAGCTTCCACGATTGTCAGCGAGACCAAAAGGTCATGTTCATAGAAATGTGATGGAAATCTGTTTCATCAAAACCGCTCTGAAATTCCTAACGGGATACCCTCAGTGAACCATTTTGAAGCCTAAAATCAGTCTCAATCGATTGCTTTGCTTTTTGTTTGCAGGCGCGCAGGCAGCATATTTGCATGCAAGCACAAGCCATGCTTGTGACGTACAAATATGATATGTTGCTCTGCGTGATTGCCGAGGAGCTTGGCCTAAACGCTGCAAAAGCAACACCATCTTGAGCACCCACAGCCCCCCAGCAGCAAATGTTGTTAAGCATACAAAGCCAAGCCTCTAACTGTGATGTCTTGTTAACCCCTGGATTGCTCCTCCATTTCTTTCATTATGTCAATACCGCCAATCAGGTCGCCATTGACGTAGAGCTGCGGATAGGTGGACCAGTTGGAATACCTCTGCCATGGCGCAACTGCACTTGATGGCAACCCATTCTTGGGTTCTGGCCTGCGTTTAACCAGGACCTACCAAAAAAATACTGACAAATACGATTGAAACAATTCGCTCAAATATCTCGCTTGCCAAGGAAAAGCACTTGACAACAAGTGCACGATAATCCTGAACCCAAATGAAGTGCTTAGTCAAGCCACAAGCCATCAGAATCTTGCTAGCCCGCTGGCCCGCAAGATTCCAAAACAATGCGTCAAAATTGATCTTGCAGCCTGCCTCTACCCACTTGGGGGTTGCGAGCACGCATCTGGACTCAATGCGGCCACAGGGCTCTTTCAGCCCTTGCCGTACTGTGTCGTCCGCCAAGATGTCCTTAGGCCGACATGCAAGGTCAGTGGACGGGATGACGGCAAGGCAGAACTGAACTCCACAAACTTGCTGCCATACTCAACAATCCCTCTGACAAAGGCCAACTCTACCGGCAATTTGGTCTAAACCACCTCCACCTGTCCGCTTCCTCCCATGAAGGGAACAACCTGCTTCTTTTTTATCAAAGTTCATCTGTCAGCGTGGCTGATGCCTCTGAAGCTACAAACGGCCTCACTGCGGCTTGCTGGAAATCAAGCAAAACTTGTCTGAGGCGAGCATCACGAAACCTCGCCAAACAGCCGCTGCCCAGGCGTTGACACAAGCAATCCCAGCAATGTTTGCAAAAAGCGGGAACCCTAGGTCCGGGTATCGCTATCAAGTGTCATCAAAAAAGGGTGGCACCCTGTGCTCTACCGATACTGCCAGGCTTCGAAGGTGGAGTATTCCACCCCAGTGTTCTGCATCATCTCAATGGCCTGTCTAGAGAACTTGCACTGCGGCTCTGTCCTGTTCCTCGCGCGGCTCCGACCAAGAAAGCCCAGAATCGCAGGCTGTGATGAATCAGCACCAATACATGCGATAGCCGTTTAAGGTCCGCTGCCCTTTACGGTGCGATCCGGTGCGCTTTACGATTCATGGGGAGGCATCCCACGTGAATAGCATCGTGCAAAAGCCGGCAATAACTCAATAATCACGATCTTAAAGCAGCAAACTATGGGTTCGCACCCATCATGTGCTGAGAATCGCGGATTCACATGCGGGCCATAATGATTCTTCAAATGCAACATTGGTTTGGCCCACCTCCAACTCTCCAGGCAATATCCTATGAACCACTAGGCCCGTGTGCCATCCGAACTCGCCATCTTGCCTCAAATCAAATGTCCCCATTGGCGCTTGCCAAGCGGCCCCTTCATGAACAACATGACTGGGGAGGCGTTGATCAAGCTCTTCAACCTCGTGTTGAGGTCTGCAGCGCCATTGGGCAATGGAGCCTGGGCGGGGCCCCATCCGAGTGCGAATCCTAATGCATCCATGGCCCGGATCCATAGGTCATTATAGGTCATTGAACAAGTTTCACTTAGATAGACAGAAACTGGCTGAACCGCCCTGGTAGCTAGGCAGAAACTTGTGGCTACAGATTGACGAGGCATGCCAAAGAATTTGCCAATGCTGATTAGCGCACTTTGAACAGAGTGAAGAGCAAGCCGCAACCCGCAAACCATTCCGACCTAAAAACTGCAAGAGCGACGAGTGACCGAACCAGTCCAAACTCTTTGACAACTTCCGCAAGGCATACTGCATCTAGACCTCACTGCCCGCAGATCAGAAAGAAGCCTGTCTCACAATGACCCAATACATGCCTCATGGGTAACGAATCTATCACGCACAGGCCTCGGACATCTGGGCATGAAGTTGACGCTGCATCCGAAAACGCTGTCTTTCCCGCATCCGAGAGGCTTCCATGGGCCGTGACACCAGGGCTTTGACTTTCTCCACTAATCTCGGAGGGTCTGCGCCCACGAGGGTCCCCAGCCTTGGAAAGCCGAAAAATGCAGCTCAAGGGCTGAATCACGGAAAAACCAGCGATTTGGCCAACACTTTATTGGCTCCCTATGCATGAACTCCCCCCCTCGAAATGGGTCCTATAGCAAAGATTCACACAGGTACACCCTGGATCTGACCTCACGATGTTAGCGCTGAGGCTCATGGCGCCCTGCGGGTTGAGAAAGCCCACAAAGGGAACCTGCTCAGCGCCCAAAGAGCTCACCAGGGCAGGGCAAAGGTCCGCATTGGCCTCGCCAAGCGGGGGGTGCAAACCGCTTGGGGAACCGGGCAAGGGGGCTGCTCCAAGACTTGCTGAATGAGCCAAGGCTTCATTCTTCAGACTTTCCTTTGCAGAGTATGCCAATGGATGGGGCCGGCGTTTGGTACTGGAACAGCTTGGTCGAGCCAACTATGTTTACGCTAGATGTCTTCGCCTGGAACGCTCCAGTAGCTTGTCATTCAATATGTTCTCCATACTTCTGCCAGGCTTGGGGTTTTGTCCCCGAATGCTCATGCATCAATCACATTCGAAGTCACCAGATCCGTCAGGCTCGGCAGTCACATGAGGCTGAGTTAGATTGCATGTCATTGCCAGGCCTTCTTTCCCGCAGGCTGCTCCACTTCATGTTCGATAAGGGGAGCTACTGACATGTCAAAATGTGTAATCACGCCTGTTGAGAAGTATTGCCCGTTCTTGGCCCCTGAATGATCTTAGCCACTGTCTGTGTGATGTTCATGATGGCCTGCCAAGAGAGCGACAAAGGTCCATATTGCCCGCAGCTGCCGAACACACACAAAAAACAAACATAGTCACATAGAAGGAAAGAAACCAAACACTCCCGCCGTTCACGCCAACCGGCGTGGTTGTGCCCGCGGGGTGGCAAGGGCCAAGGGCAGATTCTAGTTGGTTATGTTTTGGATGGTAACCCTTTCCGGTGCTATCTTCAAGCCTAAAAGGACCTTGTTTTGTGAGGGTTTCCGGATTTCCTCAAAAAACACGTGGGGGTCGATCAACAAGTCCGTTACATGTAGGGAAACCACCAAAAAGATGACTTTCACCACATTGGAAAAGTGGGCTGCATGGCCATTTTTTGCCCTAAATGGAATATTGATTTCGTCCCCTCCCCATCGACCCTACATTCCGGGCGACGTGACCTGCCTTGGCAAAGCGGCCCTTGGAGTGCTCCGCGGCCAAGGCTTCCAAGACTTTGGAGAGGTGCACGCTGGGCGAGTGCCAGGGCGCCCACCTCAGATTTTTCAGCAGGGATCCTTACATGAAAAACACCTGAACATTGCCTTGTAAATGGTGGTTTCCCGGTATTTGGTGAAAAAAGCCATGTTTCAAATGGGCAAAATGTATCTTTTAAGGAGCCCTGTCAAAATGGGCCAGCCGAACCAGAAGGTCAGAGCCAACTGATATGGACCCATTAGCTGCACATATGGCTTCCCCAAGTGATCAACCCAAATATCGGGGACAATATCAGGTGGGTCCGACTTTCTGGGTCCGAGTTTGGTGCCATTGACAGCTGGTTTTAAGGCATCATGCTTTAGTGAGTTCAATCTGGGTAATGTCAAAAGAGTGGGGCGGGGTGACGTGTGTGCGCGCGCGTGCGCGCGTGCGTGCGTGGGTGCGTGAGTGCGTGGGTGCATGGGTGCGTGGGTGCGTGGGTGCGTGGGTGGGTGCGTGGGTGCGGGTGCGTGCCTGTGTGCCTGTGTGCCTGTGTGCCTGTGTGCCTGCGCGCGCGCGGGCGCGGGCGCGGGCGCGTGTGGGTGTGTGGGTGTGTGGGTGTGTATGTGTGTGGGTGTGTGGGTGTGTGGGTGTGTGGGTGTGTGGATGTGTGTGTGGGTGTGTGGGTGTGTGGGTGTGTGGGTGTGTGGATGTGTGTGTGCGTGTGTGGGTGTGGGTGTGTGGGTGTGGGTGTGGGTGTGGGTGTGGGTGTGGGTGTGTGTGAGTGTGTGTGTGTGATTGTGTGTGTGTGCGCGTGATTGTGTGTGTGTGATTGTGTGTGTGTGTGAATGATGTGTGTGTAATTGTGTGATTGTGTGTGTAATTGTGTGATTGTGTGTGATTGTGTGTGTGTGTGTGATTGTGTGAAGGTGTGTGATTGTGTCATTGTGTGTGATTGTGTGATTGTGTGTGATTGTGTGATTGTGTGTGATTGTGTGATTGTGTGATTGTGTGATTGTGCGTGTGTGATTGCGTGATTGTGTGTGTATTTGTGTGATTGTGTGTGATTGTGTGATTGTTTGTGTGATTGTTTGTGTGATTGCGTGATTGCGTGTGTGTGCGTGCGTGCGTGCGTGTGTGTGTGTGTCATCAACCTGGGTGTTGGAATGCACATACTGTCCGCAAGGGACAGTCAAAGATTGATGTTTCGAAGTGACTGAAAGCAACATAGGGAGAGCAGGCGCTAAACCACTCATTACATTCCACGCCTCCTCTTTGAAATCCCTATTCCAACAGTTGGTTCAATCAGCACCAGCAAGCTGCGGCAACAAAGCCACGGGCGCCTTTTGCATGAGAGTCTGACATTTTTGGCCCAGCAGCAGTAGCACGGTGGTCAGCCCTTCATGGCTCTTGCAAAGCGCATGCAGCTCTGCTTCGGAAAAGATGTCCGCCACTGTACCAGCCATGGCCGGCACAGGCTATGCTATCTACAAGGGCGAATTGCTGAGCCGGAAAAGCCGCGGCAGCTCTGTTTACAGCAAACATGGCATTCATTCTTCCAACATGGCAGCCAGGCTCTTTGCACGGCTGAACTGAATGTCACGTTTGAGCTGTGCCATGCAGCCTGTGGCCTTGTAGGACAAGCTTCTCAAGTGTTCGCGTCAAAGCAAAGGATCTTGATTCCAACACGTCCAGAAGAAAACAACTCTGAAGCAACCCTTTGAGGGAGCCTGGCTCGTTCTGACATTCCCATGTGTCAAGCTTCAGCCAACATGCGGCTGTGGCTCTGCACCGGGAATTTGTACATCTGCGGCTCCATGGTGGGCCCGTCCACGCAGATCTCCGCATATTCGGGGTCGTTGGGCGAGGAGACGCGGCGGACAGCGTTCACCCAAGAGGACTTCCCCACTCCTGGCACAGGCCGCGGGGCTGAGGACGTTTGCAGCAGCTACCTGTGGTGCTTAAGACATGGAAAGTGTCACGGGGCATCACCGGATGCAAACTAGTCGAAACAATTCAAGAGCTCAAGGGCTCAGGCGCAAAAGGGAAATCAAACAGCCAGTAATTGGCATCCCGGTGAAGTGCCGTCAATTGACCAGCACTTGCTTAAACATGGTTTTGTAGTCACATGGATGTTTTGCCATGATCAAAGTGCAGTGAAAGCTCACTGTTGTTGAAACGTCACTTAAGGATACCAGAGGGGATCCAGTTGAGGGGTTGGGCTACCATGTATGATCATTGCACATGCAACGCACGAGGGGTGGGGTGGGGGGCGACACGCTGGTGACACGCTCATATCCCAAAAAAGTGACCGTTCAACGTACATGTGCCGGCAATTGGCCACCCCCTGACACGCTCCTCAGGAACCCCTCCCAGCCTCAAACTTGCCCTCCAAACCTCAAATTTACCAGCCTCCCCTTTCCCTGTAACCCCCCCCCAAGGAGCCTGGAAGGTCACTTGTATCATTGCACAAATTGCACTAAGTACACATGAGTGATACGTCATAGCAAATTGTTTTTTGCAGTCACTTAGACATAAAGTGACATTGTTTTGCCAAAATCGAGGTGCCGGCAATTGGCCAGCCATTGAAAATTCTGGAATATCAATCTTGATTTTGCAGCCCATTGGTCAGAAAGGAAAGGCAGTCAGAGCCGTACAAAAGAAAGCGAGACAAACTCGTGATCTAAGTCAGAGCCATACAAAAGAAAGCGAGACAAACTCGTGATAAGCAAGGACCTCGAGCACATCGAGCAAACATGTTTCCGGCCTGGATACCCCGTGACGCCAATCATGATGGCGCCTTGCTCTTGTGCAGGAGCTAGATATTCCGGCACCTTAGGTGCTTCCACATTCAAGTCCTTCCGGCAAAAGGGATCCCGATTCCCGCTTGAAGTCTGTCTCCGTTGAGTTGTCGTTTTACCAAATTCATCCCCAAGCGCTGCACATATGTCATTGCGCGCCTTGCCGGCACCATTGCTCCCAATCATCATTTCATACGCCTTCCAAGGCTTGCACTCCCATTTCCTCAACCCCCCCACCCACCCGCAACCAAAAACAAACCCGCCACATGTCCACCCCCCCAACCCCACGGCCTGTGCAACTTCCGCACGGATTGCCGGCCGAGGGGCCGGGTAGGCGCGCAGGTCCGCCTGCGCCTCCCGGAGCTCAGCGTTGGCCTCCCGCAGCGCCGCCAGAGACGCCTGCGAAAACCCGCCAATGGACCTGGAAGACATGGCCATGGCTCAAAAGCCGCCTCAGGCCCCCAGTGAACATCAACCAATCCAACCACTAAAATTGGCTCTAAAATTGGGTGGTGAATTCAGCTACCAACCAAAATGGTAACATTGGTGTTGACCCACGGCCACATCCTTAGCGAGGCATCCTTAGGCCGAATCACCCGCCTGCAGGGCTCAAACGAGTGCTATCCAACTATACCCTCAACTGGACAAGCCAAGTATGTGCGTTTCGTCTAGCAAACCATCCTGAAAGTTAGCAACCATCGATCAGCCAAACCTTGGGTGGTTAAGGCATTGACTAAGGGCTTACAAATCTCTGAATGGTGGTTTAAAGGGAACCCGCCGTCACCCAACAATGAGTTAGATAAGTTTTAAAAGTTTAAAAAGAATCAACCGCTCCACTTTGGGGGGTTCAGTTGTGTTTGATACACTGCGTGACTTTCCACTTGAGAGCGGGTCGTTACCATCATGGTGGATGGCGAGTTCTTTCCACAAACAAACTTCCCATTCCACCTTGCAATTTTAGTTAATCTGCGAGTAAGGCGTACAAAGTCATTCGCACTTGCAAATGCAGCCGCGTTCAAGTGTGCGGATGTGTCGTGTGTTAAGCGCTGGTGCTCGGGCTGTGTGGTTGTGATGCTTGGAGTGTGTATGTGTTGCATCGTGTGCCGTGTCTGTGTACAGTGTCCGTTTGTGTGTTTATGCTTGTGTGGTGTGTTTGCGTTTGGGGTTGGATTTGTGTACTTGTGTTTGTGTCTGTGTGTGTGTTGTGTGTTTGTGTGTTTATGTGTTTATGTGTTTGCTTGTTTGCAATCTTGTTTGTTTGTTCGCTTCTGTTATGGTTTGTGTTGTTTTGTGTCGGTTGCCTGTTTGCGCTTGCGCTTGTTTGTGTAAAAGTGTATGCTTGCGGTTGTGTTCGTCTTTGACTTCGCGTTTGTGCGGGTGCGCATGTGTGGCGTTGGTGAGTGTAAATGCGCTTGTGCTTGTGTGCTCTGCTTTTTGTGTGCGTGTTTTTGCCGAGCTCCAAGTCAACCGTGGAACCACTATGTTTTTTCACAGTACCTTGCTGGGCGTGGTTCCCCGTAAGGCTGTGTGTGCTTCATTCTCTTCATACGTCTCGATTGGAGAATCCTTTGCAAGATTAAGTGTCCGCCCCTCCCTCGTGCTTGAGTGGCACCCGATGGACTCTCACTCGATCTTGCCTGGAATACTGCCTTTGGGAGTTTAAGTGTGTTGTGTGTTCGCTGCTACGTGGCGTGCTCAAGTGAGTCAATATCAAAACTGTCTTGTGTGTTGTGTATTGGTTGCTTGGTTGCTTGTGTGGGCCCCATCGGGAGCACAGTTGACATCACCACAAATTGGAAGTGTGGCTTCTTGCACACCCCACTCTGATAGGACTGATGGGCGCAATGAGTGGCTCTCAGCGTCTGCCAGTCGCCTCGAGCCGTCTACGTGCACATGACACAATCTCCGGTGCCGAGCGGTTGAGCACCACGCCGGTGGATTCCTCGGGATGTTCATGAAATGCTGCAGGAAAGATCCCATTTGGCTTTGGTCTCTTCTGCTGCCTGAATTCCCCCAACTAACATGAGCTCAGCTCAACTTGGGAAACTATTGGCTTAGATATGCCCGCAAATCAGCCCACCCTCTTGCATTTAGCCAAGCATCTCTGGTGTTGACGAAAAAACGCGAAGCGCGCCGAAACTGCTTCTTTGCTTCTTCGGCCTGAAATGTGGCTTCGGCGTTAGCTGGAATCTTAGCATTTTGGAAGGCCCACCTGAAAGGCCCAGCATGCTCACCAACATGCACAGTGAGCAGCCGTGCCAACATCACCATTTTGGGAGGTCATAGGGCTGTAGCAAATGGGGGATGCCCCCCCCACCCTCCAACCCAGGTTACGAAATTCGGAAGGGTCGCCTATTCACCGCAAACTGACAAAACGCAATGGGCAAAATGTCGAACGTCATTCAGCGAGGCAAAACACTCGAGCGTGACTTTCTTTTGGGGAACACGAACAGGCTTTGCGTGATTCGGAACCCAGCGTTGCTCCCCATGTGGCACACTGGTCACAGCAAGTCAGCACTTGCAACTGGAGCAAGGTCTACCAAGTGGTGCGCCGTGCGCCTTCGGTTGTTTCCTCACCAACTATTGAATATATTGCATAACGCCCTCAACTTGAAACATGGGTGATGCGTGCAACTGTGCAAAGCTGCATTGGGGGTAACAAACATTGCAGGAGACTGCCAAGTAGGACACACAAGTTTGCAACGTTGAAGAAGCAACCGCAAGAAGTTCTTCTTGAGTCCAACAACGGCTCACAATCAATGGCACCCCGCGCTGTGTGATCAACAAGGAAGCCCTCTTTGCTCAGCAGGGGCCGTTCCGCTCGAGCAAATGGAAGCTCGGGACTTGAGAAACTAGCTCAATCACATATAGCAACCGCACATTGTCTAGCGCATTTGGTGGCACGCATCCCCAATCCTAACAGGAGGGACCCTCCAGCATGCTTCCCCTGTGCCCACCCAGCAAATGTATGGGTGTAGGGGGCAGGTCACCTCGCCCCCTTCCAAGCATTTAAGGAGTAGGGATGGCTCCAGAGTTGACAAAGGGGCGCCCTTGGCAGCGCAGCAGCCCTCCTTATTTACAGCTTACCGCCGGGTAGAAGCCAATCTGTGGGTGTGTGGGCCCAGCTTTGGCAAGGGCAAAGAAAGCTGTTGAGCAGCGGATATGCACCTAACCTAGCCCCAAGAAAACACAAAGCCAAAATCCCTGCATGAGACGAGGCGAACAAAAGCAACAGGAGCAACCAGGCAATCAGCCAACAATTAGGCAAAGGCAAAGCATGGCGAAGCAAAACACAACCATCATCATGCAATCATTTGTCTGCCCAATCGAGACTTGAGCGCTTGTTTTTCATCGAATCCTTGGTGGCGTGCTTGCGTGCACGCAAGCCATGATAGGGCCGACAAGGCGCGGGTCGCATCCCAGCCAATCTATCTTCTTCTCTCAGGTGCCCATCCCAGAAACGAATAACCAACAAGGATTGGCCAAAGTAGATTGGATGATGGATGCACAGTTGGTTCAGTTTTAGAAGAGTGAGAAAAGCATCCAAATGAGGCATGTTTCTTGAGAAGAATCACCATAAGCCGAGGGCCATGCAGGGTTCACCATTCCACTGCCAGGAGGGTGAACCCCGCGCCGCCTTCGAAACTAGTCTGATCCGGCAGCCTGTCACCAGCAAACTCTGCAACAAATAGCCATGCAGTGGCTTGCACCTGCGGTGCTATGCTTAACCACCAAACATGCAATCCACAAAATGCAGTAATCATGCTGATTAACGATGCTTGAAGTGATGACCCAACCTGCAACAGAATCCAGCTTTTGCTCACCACTGGTTCCAATCAGGATGATCAAAGGAATAAGTTCCCTTGGAACAGGCCACAATGATCATACGCTCAGTTCACTTCCAACATTAAGCTCCCCCAAACAAAGCCTATGCGGAGTGGAGGGACTTTCAGAAATACACGTTTTTTGCCGGGGCATCTCTTCGCTCGCCCCTACAGCAGCAGCCTGGCTTCCTTTATTATTTTGAAAATACATACGGGTTGAAAAATATAACTCGCACTCTCCAAGGTCTTCAACAGTTGAAGGATTACAGCCCAAGCTCTTGATGCAAAGCGATGCGGCGACAAGGGAAGCAATGAGGCAGGCCGGTCAAATCCTCCGCAGCAGGATGCATGGCACCCAACTCTCTTCAAAGGGCGCGGGAAATCGGCTCAGAGGTTCACGAGTGCCGAGCCATTGAGCCAGTTGAACATTTCAACCAGAGCTCTTTCGCGCCGAAGCAAAATCAAGTCACACTTCTCACGAACCTCGAGCGGCCTCCATATCCCACGCATTTGGCAGGAACGGAACAATTATAAAAGACTAGACCGCCGGCTTGGCCCACATCGAAGGCCGTTGTGTCCCGTGCAAGGAGGCAGAAGAAGTATCAGGGCTGTATGGAACGCGATTGCACCGCGGCCGTGTGTGTAAAACCCGCGTGCCCCAATCAGTTGCATTGACAAAGCATTTGGAAAATGGGGGCTTCCCTTCAACAATGCCACTCAACATCACTCAAAGGTAGGTTCCTCTTGTTGGCCGAACATCAAGCGAACAAGTGCCACTGGTGGAGCCCTCTTTTCTCTTGGCATGCTTAGGAGGACACATCGGCCTGTAGCGCACGAAAGTGTGGGCCCAGCCCTGCGGTCTGCCAGCCAGCCGGCCCCAGGAAGGCGAGGGCCCCAGGGCCAACCTCAGTCACCACTTCCATAGGCCCACGCCGTCGCGTGCCTTAATCCTTTGGATATGCGGGTCAAAAATAGGTACCCAAAAACGGAAGTGGCAACATGGACCAAAACCTGCGGTTCGATTCCTGGTGGTTGAACTTTGACCCACCATATGAATGGCTTGACTCTGTTTGCTTTGAGTGATGTGGGTGGGCTGGTGGTGGCCGTTGGTCTCAGCCCGCTGAGTTTTGCGGCCCTGCCTGCGGTTGTCAACTGATGCAAAACCAACCGTGGCAGGAACATTTTGTAGCAAACATGGATCTCCCGACAAATATGAGTGTGGCTCAAAATTAAATAGGGGCAAACCGCAGGTTTTGGTCCGTTTCCACTTACCAGGGTTTCATTTTGGTTTTTTGAGCCACAGCTATGCACGGCTGCAGGTCTATGCCCAGCAACTCAGGCTAAACCCAGAGGATCCCTGAGGCATCCAACCCTGCAAAGTGCCCGTGATTGAGGGGCACGCCCCGCCCTCAAAGCAAGTGGTCTTCCAAGGTGCATGCTCCAAGTGGAATCACCACACCGAAAAACAGTAGCCTCTGAGCAAAACTTGTCTCCAAATGGGAGAACTGCCAAAGTTGGCTCCTTTGGTTTGCCTACAAAACCTCATCATAACAAAGCGTGTCCTCAAAGACAAATACAAAGCTCCCCCCAAAAGTGAAAGGTGTTGGGTGTTGGCCTCAGCATGCCTCAGCAATCCGATGTTCCAAGACAAGAGGCTGCAAAAGCTTCGCAGTCTCGTGGCTCAGCTACGCTTCTCCAATGCTGCCAGGCGCGCTTCCATCTCCTTCCAAGCGCGTGCGAAGGAGGAAAAGAAGTCTTTTTTGCCTTGACAATCCTTCTACGTGCAGTGTAAGTCTGACATTGACGTATGTCTCGATTTCGCTGCAAGCTGCCAAGACAAAGCCAATAAATGTCTTGTTTGCTTCCCTCACAAATCCTGGTTCACTGCCAGCTGGCAAGTAGCTGCAACTTGTCAAGACAACGCCTGAAGGTTGCAGGTGAGCAACAGCCACGGTGAAGGACCCGTCCTTGAGGTCGGGATCAGCCTTCATGTCCTTGGCGGTGTATCCGAACTCGGTCTTCAACTTGGCCTCAGGCGGTGCAGTCTACAAATCTCTGCGTGGGCTTTATGTCAGGAGAAAACTAAAAACCGAAAAACAAAGATGGACATGTGCCCAGGTGTGTTCAAATTCACACATAACCCGCTGCCCTGCTGGACA